TGGCCCCTTCCTTTCCTTGCACGTCGGCTGTGGCTCCTTCGCTCCCCTCTGGCCTGTCCAGCATCTGCAGTCGCGCTCTCCCCGCTGTACTGCACGCCGCTCCCTTTCGGCGGCCCCCCAGCTAGCTCCCGCCTGCCCCCTTCCTCTGCAGCCCCCTACGTATCGGTGGCGGTAGCGGGGAGCGCCGGGGCGGTCTGGGGCCCGCCGGTACTGTCTCTCCCTCCACCCCAGCCAGGTCCGGCTGCGGGCTCCAGGCCCGGCTACTAGCGGGTGTTAATCATTACTTGGCCCCCTGGCACAGCCTCACTCGCGCTCTCTCACCCGGGCTTGGGGAGGAAGGGAAGAGGTGTTGGCGGGCTGGGGACCCCGGCTACGTCCAAACCAGTCTCTTCGGGCCTTCCAGAGACAGGTGTCTTCTCCGTTCCCTCAGCACCCTTTTCATGTCCCTTTTCTTCCCCTGCTCTCTCCCCGCCTTCCACGACTCCCCTTCAGCAGTCCTCTCCCCACGGTCTCAGCTCCGCTCCGGCTTTGGCAGGTTGACTAAAGGTCCTGGGAGGACCAACTTTCTTTGTTTGGAACCAGACTGGCCGGGATTTCCTTTCCCACGTCTCAGTGAATCGTCCAGCCACCTCCCAACGGTTTTGGCAGACTGGCCTGAAGGGGACCGCGCCTGAGGCTGCAATGAACCTGGCTGTTGGTGGGGGGTAGGACTTTAACGGGTCCTCTAGCATCTGCGCTGAGGCGGCAGGGTGAGGGTGCAGGAAGGAGTGAGAATGGAGTGTCAGGAAAGACAGAGCAGAGTGGTAAACATGGACAGGGTGTGGTATAGTCAATGGAAGGAGGAAAAATCCTGAAAGGGGGGAACACACAAAGGGAGGCAGCAAGGAATCCTCTTGTTTCCTTTATAGGATAGAAGTTGGATGGAAAGCACCACCCCTTGGCTTGCCTAACCAGCTCAGATCCCTCCTTCCCTTTGCGGAAGGGTAAATGCTCAGAAAGCTGAGCACTTACTCCTTAACCTACCACAGAAATGTTTTGTTTTCAAAGTGCTTTGGTCCATGGAGTAGGCAAGACAGGTAATCATCCCTATTTTACAGGTGAGAAAACTGAGGCCCAAAGAGGGAAAGGGACTGTGAATGCGGTGGCTGCTGCTTCTTCTGGGTTGTGGGGTGAGTGGCCCCTTTAGCTGTGCAAGTCCATGAGTGTCTGGGTGGGTGTGTGTGGGACAGGCTGTATGCAGGTCTGAGCTGGGAGCCTCACAGCCTCTGTGGGCCTCTTGGCTCCCACCCTCCACTTGTTTTAGGTAACACAGGGCTCTCCACTCCTACCCTGTAGACCTACTGGCCCAGTTTCTCCTGGCTTGACAATTTTTTCAGCTCCCCAGTCGGGTGGCCCACTGGCGGCCGCCACCTGGCAGGCCCGTGCCGCTAAGAGGCCGCTTTGGTGGCCAAGTGGCTTGCATTGTCGTTTTCCCTCAAAGGGGCTGCGAAGGGCCGGGCAGGTCGCTGGGACCTCTGGCGAGGAGCAGCCGGGTTCAAGGGGGAGGGGCCGGTGAGGATAAAGGCGCAGCACGTGCGCCGGGCCTCCACAGGACCAACAGACCGAGCGGGCGGGGCCAGCCGGGAGGCGCCCCCCCTCAACCCGGGCTTCACGCAGGGAGCCCAAATATTGGGAACAAAAGCGGGAAAAGAAGAGTGAGAGCAGAGGGAGGGAGGGAGCAAGGGAGGGAGCGAGGAAGCAGAAATTAGGGGGGTCTTAGATGAAAAAAAAAAAAAAAGAAAGTAGCTTTAGGGGGAATGTGCCGTGGAGTGTGAAATTGCAGCCCATGGTGCTCCATATTGTACCAGAAGCTCTTCCAAAAAAAAAAAAAAAAAAAAAAAAGCCATCCTCCAACGTGACCAGAGGGCTAGGAAGGGGGAGGGGCGGGGAGAGAATGGGGAGGGGGAGGGGAGAGGGCCGGGCGGGAGCGGGTCAGGCCTAGCTGGAGAGGGGGCCGGTGCGCGCGCCGGAGGCCTGGTTTCTGGTCGCGGAGAGTGGCGCCCCGGGCTGCCCCAGGACCCAGTGGGCGAGTGGGCCGCGGCCGTCCCACACTTGGATTGTCAGCGAACTTTTTTTCTCTTGGCTTTTTTCTTTTTTTCTGGTGCCAGTGGCGGTGACTTCCAAAACCGGGACTAATTCAGAAAAGGAGCTCGGCGGCGAAGCTGCTGCTCTGCTCTACCTTCCCCTCTTCCCTCCTCCGTTTCCGCTTCTCTTCCCTTCGGACTAGTTTTCTCCCCCCTTGGTTCTAAACAGCTTTTTTTCCCCCCTGAACTTTAATGCGTTTAATTTGGTCCGCGCAGTGGGGAGCATTTCCTAGGGAGATACATTTAATTTCGGAATTTCTAATCCCCTCCCTCAGAGGCCTGGCCCTGGCTCCCTTTGCCGCTCCCCAGGAGGTGGAAGGAGTGGAAGGAGGAGGACAAGCCCAGACCAAGGGGGAGGAGCCCGGCTGGGAAGCTCCCTGGCTGCCCCCAGCCCCCTAGGGCCCAGCTGCCTGCCCAAACTGCTCCAGGTCCGGGTGGAGGGGCAGTGAGGGGTGAGTCTGGGCTCTGGGTCAGGGCTCTGCCTACCGTCAAGAGGTAGCCACCCCTTTGCCTTTCCTCACCCCGACAGCAAGCACTGGGCCAGGGAACGGGAAACCAGAAAAGGAGCAGAAAGGTGGAGAAGAGAGCTGGTGTAAGTGGGGGAAGCGGACAGGGTCCACACGAGCACTTCACTTCATGCACAATCTGTCCAGAAACGCATCTGGTAGCTCGGAGCACTAGTCATGCTTGGCTTGGGATGCCTGTGCGTTTGTCCACTTGGGGTACGAGGGAGGAAGTCAAGGGGGGTCCTGCTTCTCCCACACCTACACCCCGGGGGAGCAGGCCCTGGACTGTGAGAGTCAGGCCAGCTGCAGCTCAGCTGCCAGAAAGGAGGCAAGGGCTGGGGCAGTGGGAGAGCCTGGCAGGGAAGGGAGCGGAGAAGGCGAAGGAACGGAGATCCACAAGGAAGATTTATTGGGCAGATCAGATGCAGAGAGGCGGCTAATGAAGCAAATCCCGAGATGGGTATCAGAGCAACTCCCCAAAAGTTTATTTGCCTTTAAATTTCCGCAGGGAGGCGGGCGCCTTGTTTGAAGTGTAAATGCCCCTAGGTTGGGGGGTGGAAGGGCCGCTTTGAAAACACCAGAGAGAAAAGGTTCATTTAGAGGCAGACGGGAAAAGCAACCAACCCTGACAGGTCGGAGCCCGGGTTGTGTTTGGGGTTGGGTTGTTTTCTTTATTTCTCTTTCTTTTCCTCTTTCCTCTACTTTCTTCTTCCCTTTTCCCCTTTCTTGCTTTTTTTTTTTTTTTTCTCCTCTACTAGACTCTATAGAAAAAGAATGGGAAGAACAGGAAAGGGAACATCAGAGGGAGAGGCCAGTGCCTGGAGAGAAATCTATAGGCAAGCTCCGGAGCCATAGGAGAAGGAAGAGCCTGGGCTAAAAGCATTTCTAATCATCAGGGATCATTGCTCTTTAACTTTCTAGACCCATGAATGGGCTGGAGCTGAGGAGGAAGCTGCCAGGGGCTGGATTGGAGGGAGGATGAGTGTCCAACTAGTGCAATGCTGGAGAAGGGGTCCCAGGAAGTGGGGGTGACCAGGGTGGGAGTGATTCTGGGACCTCAGAGGCCACCTGGGAAGTGAACTGTCACGGAAGGGTCTTCACTCCTTGGGGGGTACATGGGAAAGATAGGTGTGCAAGTATAACTTGTAGCACACTTCTGCATTAAGTTCCCCTTTCACAAAATGTGACATCCCTCTTGCCCAATACATGGAAATGCCTGTTGTCTGCATCCACACTTCTTCATAGTATGTGTAACATAGAGATATATCTAGCTGGGTCTGGAAAAATCAATGAGTCTATGTGTGTGTGTGTGTGTGTGTGTGTGTGTGGGAGGGACTGTCTACAGTCTTATTCCTCCTGTAGTTCCGACTCCCCAAGACTTAACTTTCTGGACCAATGTAGGGAAACATGGGGGCAAAGGGCTCCTTGAGTTCTGAGTTCCTTTCAATAAGGATCCTTCCCCTATGCCTTTCCCTCCACCCAATCTTGGTTAATTACCTTCCTGAAGGAAGCCCAAGGCTGTACCAGATAATACAACCTGAAAGCTCCTTTCTCCCAAGCTTGGGAGCCTTTCCCTTAGGCTGCCGGGACTGTGTTTTCCTTTTTTTTCCGCTCCCCACACAAAGTTAGTGCGTGTATGTGGGGTTGGGAGGCCAAAGCAAACCCGGGAGCGCCATCTGCAGGTCTCTAGAGGAAGAGACTGACCTTCGGGGCTAGACCCTGCGCCTTCACCCTCCAGCCCCAGGGAACTAGCCTGGCCGCCCAGGGGAAGAGGGAGTGAGGGTTGGGAGGGAGGGGGCTGGAGAGAAGTTTTTTTGTTTTTTTTTTTGTTTGTTTTTTTTTGTTTTTCCCTCCCAAAAGTTACTCCGCAGGTGGATTAAGCAGATTAGGCTCCGGAGGATCCAGGAAGGGGGAGGGCAAATGTCCAGCTGAGTCAGTCCCCTAAGGAGTAGGTAGTTCAGAATCCCATAGGATTGAGCCTGGCTGGATCCCCGTCGGAGGATTAAGGGCATTCTGAACACCACCACCACCACCCACCCCTTGGGTGCAAGAGGCCCAGTAGAAGTCCCCTGGCTGAGTGGGGTGGTGTGTCCCCCAGCCTAGCTGCTGCCTGGGCACTGGCCAGCGGGACGGCGTTGTGAGGCTGCGGCGCTTTCGCGGGCGCCAGGGTCTGCAGTCAGGGGCCAGAGGCGCCCCGAGACCAAGCAGCAAGAGCAGAGCGCGGGCTTCCCTGAGCCGCCCTTTCGCAGACCCAGGGAAGCGGGGGGAGGGAGGGAAGGAGGGAGAGAGAGTTAAAACATCAGCTGAAGTGCCAAGATGATTTATGAGACGAGGGAAAATATTTCATAAAGATCTCCCGGATATTCTGTACTTAACCAGTTAGGAGACAAAGGGCTTCTCCTGCCTGGTGCGTACTAGGGGACCCGAGCGAGCGCGGACGAAGGCTGCGGAGGCTGGGCCAGCGGCTCCGGGAAGAGCGGGGCCGGGCCGAGCGCGCTGCGCCTCCTGCGCTAGCTCGGGATCCGTCAAGCTGGCAGCGGGCGGCGCTCAGCCTCGTTCGCAGCCTCTTCTCTCCAGCCGGGGAGAGCAAACCTCGGCTCCCGCGTCCTCTGCCGCCAGCGACCAGTCGCTCTGCACTGTCTCCCTCCCCAAGCCCTTCTCCCAGGCCACCCGAGGGTCCAGAAGCCAAGTCCCTGGCTCTCCCACCGTCCGCTGGGTCCCACTGAGGCAGGTGGGTCCTCGCTGGAGGTCTCCAGCTCCATCCTAAACCGAGCGTTCTGGGCTACCCAGACTCTTATGGCCAAGGGGACGAGGGAAGTCCTCCGCGCAGCTGCGCGTGGAATTAGAGAGGACAAACTGCCGGGCACTTTGCCCCGGAATGAGAATTGGGGGTGCGTGGGTGGGGAGGCACCTCAGGAGGGAAAGGCGAAAGGGAAGGACCAGAAAGAGGAAGGAAGACTCAGGAAGGAACGGAAGGGAACTCAGAGCTGAGAGGAGGGGGGTTAAGACTAGGGATGCGGACTGGGCTCGGGGCCGCGTGGCCCACGCGGGCACTGGCCGGTGGATGGCAGGGCTGGGTGAGTTGGGACTGTGAGTCTGGCTTCCGAGAGCGGCGCGCTCCGCGGCACTCGGTCATTGCTTGAATATTCATTAGACTGGCCGTTCTTTATCCTTATCTAACGTTTATCTTATCGGCGAGTTTCGTTTCTCAGTGTAGTTTTAATCCCGGGCTCCCCTTTCCCCTCCCCCTGGCCCGCTCCCCTCCCTCCCTCTTCCTTCGCCCGCTGCTTCCTCCCTCCCTCCCGTTTCCCCCTCCCCTACCCTCCCCTCGCCGGCACCGGAGTGACAGGCGCGGGGCCCTCCTCGCCGAAGCTCGGGGCTCCGGCGCTGGCGAATCACAGAGTGGTGGAATCTATTGCCTTTGTCTGACAAGTCATCCATCTCCCAGCGCGGGGAGGGGGAGGGGGTCTGGAGGGGGCTTTGCAGCTTTTAGAGAGACACACACCGGGAGCGGAGGCTCCAGTCTCCGGCCGAGTCTTCTCGCAGCCGCAACCCACCTGGGGCCAGCCCAGTGCTGCCGGCGCTGCTCGGCTCCCTCCCTCCCTCCCGGCCCTTCGGCCGCCGCAGCAAGCGCCTGCCTTTTCCGGGGGCGGGGGCCCGGCTCGCGCTCTCCCCTCCCGGAGGCGCCCGCTCGGACATCCCGAGGATTGCTACTTCTCTGCCAACTTCGCCAACTCACCGGCACTTGGAGCGGCCCGGCTCCCCTCCCGGCGCCCTCGGGCCGCCCCAGCTCCTCGCCCTCTCCGACCGCCGCCTCTCGGATGACCGGGTTCCAGGGGAGTGAGCGAGCCACCTCCCCCCTCCCAGCCTCAGCCGTGGCCTCAGCTGCCGCGCGCGCCATGCGCCCCCAGATCCCCCCGGCCCGGCCCGCCGCCCCGGGGCCGCTCTGCTGACCGCCCAGCCCCGCGCCCCGACGGTGGGAAGTTGCGGTCGCTGCGGTTGCAAGCTCCGATCCGCCCAGGAAGCGTCCCCGCGGGGAGCTCACCGCGGCGTCCCCCGCCCGCCCCGCCGCAGCTGGGCGCCCGCTTACCTCGCCCCCCTCCCCAACGTCCCTCCCTTTTCTCCTCAAGTCCTGAAGTTGAGTTTGAGAGGCGACACGGCGGCGGCGGCCGCGCTGCTCCCGCTCCTCTGCCTCCCCATGGATATGCACTGCAAAGCAGACCCCTTCTCCGCGATGCACCGTGAGTACCGGCGCCCGGCTCCTGTCCCAGCTCGGGGCTCCCTGTCCTAAACCTCTCCCGTCCTGTCCCGGGCGCGGCCCTGGCCCCCTGCGCTCAGGTCCCATTTTGGAGACTGCGCTGGCTTCTCCAGGACCCCCCTTTCGTTATTCCTCTTCCCCTCATTTTCCAGCGTTTTAAAGCCTCCAGTTTCCCTCTTCTGCCTTATGTCACCAATACTTATCCCTCTACCTGCCTTCCTACTTTCCCTGGTGCCCATCACCTGTCTTCCTTTCTTCCACCTGCTCCTTCTGAGGTAATCAATCCACAGCCCCCAGCCCTGGCTCTAGCCATTCCACTCCCTGGTCATCCTCTTGCCCTGGGCTGGGAGATTAATTGGCAGGCAGTTTTAGAGGGGTTTGTGTTGTGTTGTTTTCTCTGTTCTCTCCCTCTCCCTGTCTCTCTCTCACCTACCTACCTCTCTCTCACTCTCCCATCCTTCCCCACCCTGCATTCATCGCTACCTTTCTCAAACTTGAGTGTACTTGTCCAGGAGGAGACTCCTAGCACCGACAGCTTCAGTGTCAGGACAATCAGGCAGAAAAGTGTGGGGGTGGGGTGCCCCCAACTGACCCTCAGCTCCCAGCATCTCCAGGCCCTGGCAGCGTAGCCAGGGTTTCTTGTGAGCTGGCTTGTAGTAGTTCCTCTTCTTTTCTTTCCTCCCTCCTTCTTCTCTCCTTCCCCTTCTCTTCTCCTTGAGTTGGGAGGCTGAGACTGGCGGGACATGGTGGTCATCTTTCTCCACCTCTCCCTGAGAGATGCTCTAAAAACAAAGAAGGGTTCCAAGGAGAAATCGAAGTCAGGAAGAGATGGAGTAGAGGAGCCTTCCAGGCTGCCCCTGGGCAGAGCCAAGCTCTGCTTGCAGTTCTGGAAGCTCTTTGCTGGCCTCCCACTTCATGGTGAAGATGGTCCAGCCAGTGACCTGGCCAGTGGGTAGTCAAAGAGGGGGAAAATGAGGGGGAAAGAACAAAAGGAAGGCAAACGCCCAAACTGGGGAGAAAGGAAAGAGAAATTTTGAAAAGGTGGAAGAAAATAAAAGAAAGAAAACAGAAAGGATGTTATCCAGGAAAGAGAAGGGGAGAAAAAATGAAAAAAGAGGAAGAGAGGAAATTATTTTAATGAAATTTGAATTTATCCAATTCATGTCCTATGTCTTTAGCTTGGAGAACAATTCAGAGATTTTTTTTTAAGCAGTCTTTTTTTTTTTTTTAGATAAATAGATTCTAAATAGAAAACTTCTCCTCCTCTGTAGATTAATAATTGAGGATGATTTGTAACTTTTCACCGGGAAACTTTTTTAGCCCTGGCTTGGATCGGTGCTCCAGAAAAGAGAGCCAAGGAGGAAGACCTCTGTTTTTCTCTAAGCTTATAATTAGCATTACAGGGGTGAGCTTAAAAAAAGAAATACTCCTGGGGTAAAATATATTTTTAAAAATAATTTCCAAGTACAGGTAATCTGAGTCAGGAGCCTCCGGCCGCCGCTGGTCTCCACCAGCTGAGCCAGAAATCCTGTCTCCTTTTCCGAGCGAGTGGAACCGGGTCCTCTCGCAGTCTTCGCCCAGCCCGCCGGCCTCCCTGCCCGGCCGCCTCTGCTCTCGCTCTTTGGCCGATTCCGCGGGGATTTGCCGAGTCCCAGCCGCCCACTGGGTGTCACTTTGAAACCCAAAAGAGGGCAAGGCGTGCTGAAGGTGGTCGGAGGAAGGGAGAGAGCGTGGCGCGGGCGGGCGGGCCAGCAAGCCGCCGCAGCCCGAGTCCGCGCCGGCGGCAGTGGCGCATTCCAGGCCCGACTGAGGGGCGGCTTCCGGCCCGCGGCCCTGGACTCCTGTCGGGCCCCTTCCCATCCCCTTCCGTTAGATTGGGGACGAGGGGCCGGGCCCGGAGCCCGGGGGAGGCTGAATTATTCATCTTTAATCTGCCCGCAGCTGCCGCCTTTTCATACCGGTAACGCGAGTTCTCCCGGGGCCTAAATTATTGATGGTGGGGGTTTGGAGGGAAGGGAGGGGTGAGGAGTGGGGCTAGAGCTAGGGAGAGTAGCGGGAATGAGAGGCAAAAATAAGAGGTTCTAGCCTCCCCCAGCCTGCAGATCGGAAGCCTCTCCCCAGGGGTTTCACCGGCCCTTGCTCTCAGTACCCCCAGGAGGGGATGGGAAAGAAATGAGCTGAACGCAGATGTTCCCGCTTTCTCCGAAAGTCGCCTGAAGCCAGTAGGACCCGGGCTGCAGGTTCCTGGCCAAGTCAGTCCCGCCACTAGAACTCTGCGCTTGGATTGCTCAGGAACTGCGGCTCCGGGTGATTGCTCTGGGTGCAGGATTTCTAGACTGCTGTAGGCCAGGGAGAATGGGACGCTGCGCAGCGTCCCCGGGCCTGATATCTGGTGACCACTTTGGCCCCGCTGGAGACCCTGCGCCCTCCTCCTGGCCAGGAGAGCAAATGCCCTTGCTTCGTGGTGTCCTGGGAGGCTGCCGAGGTCTAAGAGGTCGGAGGGACGGGAGCTGGCTCCGGCTGACAGCACGGGGTGTCCCGTGAGCACTCAGCCTGTCTAGGCGACCTGTACCATGCTACCTAGGTGAGGCAGTGGCTTCCAAGCCTGGCTCAGGGCGGCAGCCTGCATTCTCTGGCTGCTGCCCATGGGAGCCCCGCGCGGCAACCGGCTGCCTCCCCGGCTCTGAGCACGGACACCGGACCCCTGCGTCTTCAGCCTTCCGTCCTCCACCTGGCTTTCTTTGAACTTTAGACACTAGGGATTCAAGTGGGAAATATGGCCTTGAAATATCTAAAGATAGAAAACATAAAGGAAAGGAAAAATCCCGATCGAAAGCCAGAATAAAACAAAAACAAAAACACAGGGAAGGAGGCAGGAACACCAACTCTGATTAAAAATAGATACAAGAGGTAGGGAGCAAAAGGAGGGAGTCAGACATTTAGCCCCTCTCTCTGCTCAGAGCCCTTTTGTATTGACTCAGTCAGTCCCAGACCCCACGCCCCAAGTTATCTGCCTCCAAGCCCTAACACACACCAACGACTCCCCCTTGCTTGCGGCTCAGGCGGGATCCCGCTTGGCCCTGCTTCTGCTCTCTGCTCCGCCCTTCTTTTCCTCTCCTACATTCTTTCCTGCTGGCACTAATTCCCCCTCTGCCCTCTTCTCACCCTGCTTCTCCATTCCTTCCCTCACTTTCTCCCTTGAGAGGTGCTGGTCTTAGAGCCGTCTTCTTCCCTGCTCTCTGCCCTGCGTCTGCGTTTCCGCGTCTCTACGGGCCCGTGGGTTTCAATCCCCAGTCGCCCTGCGTTGCTCGGCAGCGGCGGACCACCGTTCTGCCGCGCGTCCCAGATCATGCCCCTCTGCCCTGCCTACTCCCTTCGCACGTCCTGGGCCGCGGACCCTGACTAATGGCCGGTCCCTGCTGTGTGTGGGGTGTTGTGTTTTTTTCTTGTCTCTCCCCAGCAGGGCACGGGGGTGTGAACCAGCTCGGGGGGGTGTTTGTGAACGGCCGGCCCCTGCCCGACGTGGTGAGGCAGCGCATCGTGGAGCTGGCCCACCAGGGGGTGCGGCCTTGCGACATATCCCGGCAGCTGCGGGTCAGCCACGGCTGTGTCAGCAAAATCCTGGGCAGGTGAGGGCCTCAGAGCCACCCCTGGGAGAAGCCTTGCCTCCTCAGCCCGAGGCCCTGGGTCTCCAGACCAAGGACTTGGCTCAAAGTCCAGGATGCCAGTGGGAGACGGGGTATCTGGATACTGGGGGAACCTAGAGAGCTGCTCCTTTTGGAGAGAGTACTCAGGTGGTGGCCACGGGCCCAGGAGTAAGGGTGGAGAAGGGTCACTCAGCTCCTGCCCAGCTTTAGGGTTCTTGAGAAGAGGCTGCCGGATCCCAGACTTCAGACAGGGAGGGAGTCCTCTCCAAGCAGAGTTCATGCAAACTGGGGGGCTCAGAGGAACAGGGTGGGGAGCATAAATGGGTCCCCAAGAGGAAAGTAAAAATCAGCCCTGGGGAGGGGACAGGAGGGTCCTGGTTCTCACCAGGGCTCCGTGCTCAGTAGGAAAGGGCTGGAGGTGGGGGCCTCAGCCCTGGTGGGCCTGGAGGCCTGGAATCCTGCTGTTCCTCCTGTTCTTTCTAAATAAAAGGCCGGGCTTTCAAACTCCCAGGGGCACCTATTCCCTCTGGTGTGCTCTGCTCTCAGTCCCCGGCATGACTGTCTTCCTGGAGGGAGTGTCCCTCTCATCCTCCCCCTCCTCCTGCGGTCCATCCCTCGCCCCAGTCAAGCGCACCCTCTGGAAGCTGGCTCAGCCAGGCTGAGTCTTTTCCCTCCACGCTGCTGCCTCGGGTGGGAGCGTGGCTCCACCGCCCTGAAGCCTGCAGCCTCCCTGCCCCCTGCCATGGCCTGTTCTCGCTGACCCCGCCGGCCTTCCCGGCGCAGGTACTATGAGACCGGCAGCATCAAGCCCGGAGTGATTGGAGGTTCCAAGCCCAAAGTGGCGACGCCCAAAGTGGTGGACAAGATTGCTGAATACAAGCGCCAGAACCCCACCATGTTCGCCTGGGAGATTCGGGACCGGCTCCTGGCTGAGGGCATCTGCGACAATGACACCGTGCCCAGCGTCTCTTCCATCAACAGGTGAGCAAACCAGCCTCGACTACAGGGCGGGACTCCAGCTCCCAGCTCCTGCCCATCAGGGCGTCTCCCAGCTTGTGGTCTCTGTTCTTTCTCCGGCCCCTGCCTGTGCTCCAGGCTCTCAGCCCCTGAAGTCCTGAAGTCTTTCGGGCAGGGAGAGGACACCTGGGAGGCAGAGAGACAGACAGACAGACAGAGCTGTCTCCAGCTCAGGGCTGGGTATTCCCTGCCAGGCTTCTCCCGCCGGCGTCCTGGAAATGAATCCAAGTGTTTGTGGTAATTAAGACTCCAAGATTACGTGCCTCGGTATCTAGAGACAATCACAGCCTAAGCTGAAGCCTTTAAAATGACCAGTGTCTATTCATCGCTTCCAAACAGACTTCCCTTTCTAAAGGCATGCTCCCTTCCCCAGGGGCAGCTGCCTGTCCTGGCTTCCCCACCCTCCCTGCCAACTCCCACAAAGCTTGCCTCCCAGGAGCCCAGGCCTTGCTAGCCAGCTCCGCACAGATTTCCGGCCTATAAACACGAGTGTCCAGGCCTGAGAGCAAACGCTAGCCACCAGCCAGCAATTGGCAGGGAGCAGAGGAGCTGGACAAGGAGTGGGACACCAGGCAGGCAGGGAGAGCTCTAGACCCCCAGGCTCCACTTTGGGATGCGTAGGGCTAGGGAGAGGTCTGCGCAGTGACAGGCTCAGGCACATGGGCTGACACAGGCTGGAGTTGTGCAAGGTAGCCTCCCACTCCCCAAGCTACTCCAGCCTGCTCTCTGGGACGGTACGCATGGACGCTCCACGTGCGTACATATCGTGCAGGTGTGCAAATTGGGCCTATGTTGGCTAGAGCAGGCACAGGGAGCAGTGGGATGCAGGGACCCAGGATGGCTTCAGCATCGCAGAACTGTACTATCTGACATCAGCAGAGACGCTGTACAAGTTCCAGACAGCTTGGCCAACCTTTCAAACCCTGCCCCCTATTTTAGGGCAGATTCCCAAGTGAGAAGAAGGCTGAGGGTTCGTACCCTTATTATTCTTTGTATTCTTCATAGACTCATTATCAGGACAACTAATAATTCAGATGGTGCCTTTTTCTGAAACTGGCATCACGTATCAAGTTTTTTTTTAATATTTTGCAAATGATATGGAATTATCCCAAATCATCCTGAAAACAGCAGGTAAAATTAGCTGGTAGAATGTACCTTGGCTAAAGAAGATTCCCTCTGCCACACTCGTGCTGTAACGTACTGCGAGGCGACCCCAGAAATTATCCCAGTGTGTGCCATCTGTATTAAAATGGTTATTCAGTTATGAACAGGGTAACATAATACTGATCAGCTAATTATACACCCTCCGAAAACCCTCCAGCTCCCCGGGCCTGGCTCGCTAGGTACTGAAAGCATAGCGGTTTGACATTCAGACACCTTCGAAGGAGCTGGATTAAGACTCTGGGTGGTTTGGGAGAGGAATGTGTCTTTTGCATTTAAAAGCCAGAGGAGGCTGGGGAAGCTCTGGGGCTGGGGCAGGATTGGTGGTTAGGAAAGGGCAGGGGACAAAGCATTTGTTTTCTGAGCCATCTGAAGATTCAGCCTCTTGGCTGTCTGCTGGTCCTGGGAGCGAGCTGGAACAGAGATCTGCGTGATGAGGAACGATGTTGATGGGACTGGGCGCTGGGGTCCTGGGGGACATTCAAGAGAAATGCTTGTCATCAGTGGTAGGATTTGCAAGGCTTTGGAGGACCCCAAGACATGCACAGTTAAGGTGGTCTGTTTTTCTTGATGGCTGGAGGACTGGAACAATCAAGGCACTTCTGGGACCAGCATCCCTTGCCTCCCACGCCCCTACTGTCTAGAACTCTGTCCTTCCTCTCCCCAACATACACCTTCACTGGCTCAGATGTTTTGGAGACCTGGCTCATGCAGGAGTTTGGGAAAGCTCATTCTGAAAAGCCACAGAAAGCAGGGAACAGGTGACCCCAGGATTGATCTCAGAAGCCTGGGGGTGCACTCCCCAGCCCTGGGGGAAAATAGAGGGGTGGGTAGGGAGTAGGAAAAGAACGGCCTCAGCTTGGTAATGATAACAGCTATGGAATCTGCTCATCACGTGGAACCCCACCACCTGAGGGGCACCAAGGCTTCCTTTGGGTGTGTAGAAATGGCCCTCCATGGGCAGGTGTTGCTGGAGATGGAGAGGGAGTGGGAGGAGAGGAACAGGGAAGCCACTGGCAGCATGGATAGCCAGCCCTGGGTCTGTGACTAGGCTTCCTGGCTTGCTTTGCCGACAAGGAGCAGTCAAGGTATTCTTGATTTCGCTCTGGGACAGTATCCCACCATGGTTCCAATTTGGGAAAGAATTCTGAGGGCTTCCCCTTGTGCTGCTGAGTTGGGGCTGGAGGGATGTGTCTAGGCCCGCATGTCTTCAGCTTCGTCCCTGTGGGTGCTCGGCTCTGAAGGGGGAAAGGTTTATCTGAGATTTAGTTTCACCCTAAAGCCTGATAAAGGCAGGATGTTTCTGTCAGCATTGGTGATTTCAGGAACTTTGTAAATTTTTACTCACTATAGGAAGGGCCTGGAGATTTTCCTCTGTGTAGGAAGTGTGGCGCCTCGGGGTGGTTCTTGAGTATAGGGCCTTACTGTTGGTGTGATGCCCACTCGTCTTTGGTACTTTTAACCGTCCTAAGGGTGTGTGTGTGTGTGCCGGTGGCTGGCAAGAAAGGAAGTCCACACACACTCAGCCACCTGAGCCAAATTGTGAGGTTTTTTTTTTTTTTCCATCTTCTCCTCCCAAAACAGATGTTGTTGCCGCACTTGAAATGTGTTGTTATGGTTATAAACGAAATTGCCTCCATGCCTTAAAATTGGTTTTGGTTTTCTCTGATCCTGTCGCGATAAAGGCTTGGACATTCCGTCCACGTATTCCACTGGTAAATCCTCAGAGAAACACCTCTCTGAGTCAGCGGAGTGGGTCAGGGATGTCTCCCAAACACACTCCTGTCCCTAGAGACCACTGTCGAAAATCCAGGGGGATGACTGGATTGCTTAGTCTGTGGAATTTCTGTGACTCAGTCTCGATATTGGATTACTGACTGCTAAGCATGGAGTTGCCCGCGCGTCAGCTTATTTGCTGTCCCTGTAGTGGACCGAGGTTTATAAACAGGTGACTTGAGACTGAAACCTGGTGGGGGAAATGGCCTGGGGGCGGGGCGGGAAGAGATGGAGGGAGATCCATGCTACTGAAGGGGGAAAAAGTCACCCAGTTATGTCGCTGAGCAACTGAGCAACTGACCAGGCCGGAAGGGATTTCCTGTTTATATGCCAGCGTCTTCTGATTTGGCTGTTGCTGTGGGCAGAGATTAGAGTTCCTTTGAAAGAATCAGTACAAACTCCAGGTAGAGTCTAGGGTTACCAAGGATCCCCCGAGGGTGATCTCTTAGAATGAGCCAACGGAAAGGCCATTGCTCTCTTAACTTTTCCAGCCTGCCCTACACTCTTGGGATCAGGGCCTTCCCTGCCCCTAGATCTTTGGAGTGGACCCTTCCAGAGTCAGTTTCCCACTGATCACCTGCTACCCACACTCTCCCTCAGCCTGTTTGGCTCTAAGTGAGCATGTTCATTTTCCCAGTGGTGACAACACTGGCTTCCAGGCTGCAGCCCCGGTGTTATGCAAGGATTCCATCCTGTGTCATTCGAGGGCCCCATCAGAGGTCTGGCAGTGGGGTGACAGGAGTGGGTCAGCTGTTCATTTGAAGGCCAATCCAAAGAAGCTGGGAATGCTGAAGATATGTTCAGGGCCGGAGTCTATGTCTCTTTCTCTGAAACTCAGGTTCTAGAACATTGCACATTTGACTCTTAGACTCTTAGACCTGGCTTGGCATGAATCTGGGCCAGAAGGGTGGCTTTACCTGCCACATCTCCATGCCCTTGTAGCTGTTGGGCTGTTGGTCTCATGGCAAAGAGCCAAGGCAAGTTGGTAGGCTAAGAAGGAGGCTCTGTCCTTAGAAGAGGAAGAGAAATAAGGACAGAGAACTTGCCTTCTGTGGCCCGGGGCCTACCAGACGGGGGCCACAAAGAGCAAACAGATGCAACAGATTCTGTCTGAGGAGGCTTGCTCACCCATCCTTCCCCAGAGAAGGCTCTCCTGCCGCCTAGATCACCCATCACTAGACTAACATGGTAACTGGGTACGACTGTTGATCTTACTTCTTCAAATGAGCTGGAGCTGTCCTCTTGAAAAGCCTTTTTTTTTTTTTTTAAGATTTTATTTATTTATTTGACAGAGAGAGATCACAAGTAGGCAGAGAGGCAGGCAGAGAGAGGGGGGGAAGCAGGCTTCCTGCCGAACAGAGAGCCCGATGCGAGACTCGATCCCAGGACCCCTGAGATCATGACCTGAGCCGAAGGCAGAGGCTTAACCCACTGAGCCACCCAGGCGCCCCTTGAAAAGCCATTTTTAAAAAAAAGATTTTACTTATTTATTTGACACAGAGAGAGAGACAGTGGGAGAGGGAACAGAAGCACAGGGAGTGGGAGCGGGAGAAACAGGCTTCCCACCGAGCAGGGAGCCCGATGTGGGGCTCGATCTCGGGACCCTGAGATCATGACCCGAGCCAAAGGCAGACGCCCAAAGACTGAGCCACCCAGGCACCCCTTGAAAAGCCATTTTTGTCCCCTTAGTTACAAGAGAGGGAAACTCCTCCTAACTAACTAGTGTCCCAACTATTTTGAGAACTCAATAAAACAATCACATCAAATATGAAGAGGCATAAATCTTGTGTCTGCACAGGTAACCTACTCAATTGCTTTTATTATCGTTCAGGCTGCCTCCATTTATTACCATCCACAGCCTGGGCATAGAAGGTTGCATGGAGGGTGGTCTCCGGGTGCAGTCCTCCACCCCGAGAGGCAACGATCAGCCCGTAGAGCCAGGGATTTCGATGGGAGCTCAGGAAAGGCCCATCTGTCTGCATGAAAACCAATCAATAATTCTGTAACCAGAGCCCTTGTCACAGGGA